AAAAAAAAAAAATCAAAAAAATAAACCTTCAACACCTTCACTTCGAAATTCAAATCACCTACTAACCGTAAATAATGCTCAATCCCCAACAATATTTTCTAATTAACCCATTTAATAAGATCGCATCATATAATCAATTGAACAAAAAATTATAAAAGATTTGTAATCTTCCATTAAAAAACAAATTTCTGCTTTAAAACTTACTGTTCCTTAAATTCAGGATCCTATCAAATAGGTTCAATTTAAAACTCCTTGTAAGATGACATAATCTTAATAATAACCATTTAATTAGTTATCTGAAGAAGAGGAGGAGGAAGATGATTAGATATTTGTTTGCGGTGGAAAACTCCATTAATGCAAGAATATCTTCAATAACACTTAAGATTACGCATAACACATGAAAAAGTTTCATAAGAATAAAGTGCCTAAAGAAAGTTCCCACACATTAGATGGCTAAATGATTTAATGAGTGTAGCCCCTACACGGCTCCACCAGGACTAAGAATTAGACGCTGTCTTAAGATCCTGGCAATAATCATATTTAGTGTCTCAATTTTAACAATAAAAATAAAAACCCAATCAAATTAGTCACTTGGAATATTTCCTCTATGAAAGAAAGCACGCTAAAATAAGTTAAATTATGTGGCCCTCATTTTTTCTGTCTATAAGAAAGCCGTAATTCTAAGATTTCATCATCACCTAGTTATTAGATTTATATAAACCATCATTCAACCAGTGAGAGATCTGGTGGTATAATCACGGGTATTCACAATAGTTTTGCTTCTAAAGATATTAGTGATATCCTTTAAATTCAAATATAAGTGGAATTTGACTATCTTATAATTAATGCTAGAAACGAATACTTTGATATTTTTCTGTTTAATTTCTACTTTAACAAAAAGTCTACATTCTAGAAATCAAAGACTTAGCTAGATAATTGGTTGAGATAATTCATTCTAAATATTAAGCCTAACCAGTAAATTATTATTTGCGGTGACTTTAATATAAGCTAAACCCCTTTTAATTTTCTAACACCAGCTCTTCCACAGCACTTAATTACATTTTAGAGAAAAAAATTGAACAAAATGATAGAAAGTAGAACTGATCATGTTTTATTACATCCCTATGTCTAATCTAAGAATAATGTCTCCTTTAATTAATTATCAGACCACTCCCTAATAGAAATTGAGCTTAACCTTCAACAAAAAGTCAACTAATAATTCTATTTTTATAAATTCAATAAAAAGCGAGCTCAAAACTTAAATAACTTGGCTTCTAGCAAATTTTCTGATTTTACATGTTTCTATAAATTTATACAAAACAACCTCAGGAACTCCAAAGTTATCCAGAAAATTAAAAAGCAAGTTATACCAAAATTAAATATTAATTCCACCCATAATAATTAAGATGTATTCTAACATATGGCTGACTTATTCTCTAGAGATAAAGTAACATTCTTCCAAACTCTAAAAAAAATAACTATATTAAACCCTTTTAAAAAAGATGGTAGCATTTTTTCATATTTCATTGATGACTCTAATTAACTACAATTTGGAGATATTGCTATTAGAAATTGTCTTACCTAACTTAGTATCATATCAAATGGTCAAAAATTTCGCCCTTTAAAACTTCCTTCTTTACCCCCCTTAAATACGCTTGATATAACCGAGCTACAAAGAAGGATGTCACGAAATAAAGCAATTAGCTTTGATGGCGTATCTGACAATTTTATTAGGAATTGTAAAAATGTCCATATTTTTTGTGATATATGGAAATAATCTACAATTGAAACCAACTACGCATGCTGTAGAGCAAGACTAGTACCCTTAAACAAGGTTTTCCCCGATATCCCTACTAAAACTTAGTTTCGACCTATTACAATTCTAAGTCCCCTATTTAAGCTGCTTGAATTAAGATTTCTGCCAAGACTATAACAATATTTGTCCACTCGCTTATCTAAAGGTCAAGCAGGATTCATTCCTGGTTCATCTACTCAAATAAATATCATCAGACTCTTAAATACTTTAACTGGTTACAAGAAATAGGATAAAATGGATTGCATCTTTATTGATTTTAGCAATGCCTTCAATAGCATAAATAGATAAAGACTATTTAATATTTTATCTGCTAAATCAATTTTGGATGGCATCGAAATAAAATTCCTTAATCACCTCTATACAAATCTCCATTATATTTGCCCATAAATGAATACCACATTTTACTTCTAAAACGGTGTTCCTCAAGGATCTCCACTGTCTCCCGCACTTTTTAATATATATCTTGAAGATTTTTTAGCTTCATTAAAACAAAACTGTAATTTTAATTATACTTCCTATGAATTTGCGGACGACATTGTAATTATTATTGCTCATAGAAATATCCAATCCTTTTTATAAAAGTTGGTTTTAATTTCTGAAGAATATGAACTTAGATTAAACTAGAAAAAATGTGGAATCTTTTTCATCCAAAATCATAAGCGCTGTTAATATAACAATATATAAGGATTTCCTATTGTGAAATCTTATAAATACCTCGGAATAAATATATTGAACAATGGAAAAATAAGTCTATAGCTTGATAAAGTAGAATAAACTCTAAAATTTTTAAGTGGAAAGTTGCTATGGGTTTCTTAAAAACTTAATTGGAAGCAGAAATATTAATTATTCTAAACTTTTCTCCTTCCACACATACTCTATATTTGTCCTTCAATCCCAACCTAGAAATACAAAAACATATTTCAACGCTTATAAAAATTATATAAATCTAGCTTTAAAAAGGTTTGTGGATTTCCTAAATGCTTACCTAACGAATTTTTAGATTTGATATTACCCCCTCTAGAACTTCTTATAGCAAAGCATACAAATAAGGTTATCAGTAGGATGAACAACGGAAACTTTGGTTAAACTACTTTTATCAATAATTACTTTAACGAGATAGAAGAAATGAATTAAAATTCAATATACAAATTTCTCCCCAATAATTTTAATTAGCTGTTCTACCTGTACCCTAAAATCTGTAGGACCCACTAATGTAATCTTTCATACCGCCATATAATAAATTTCCATTCCAATTTCCATATTTCAGAGTTTTTAATAAATCTAAGAGGCATCTTCAATAATAATTAGTAAATACAATAACCAAAAAACTAATGTAATAGATTGGAAAAAATAATTGCAAAGCTTTTAACTGAATGATTGAGTTATTTTTATGTTAAATAGAATAATAATAATAATAATAATTTATATAAATCCAAAATTTATGATTTTTGTTCTCCTTCATATTAAAATTAAATTCGGAAATTTTATAGTATCAAAACTACTAAATTAATGTGGTCAAAAGAATTTTGCAAACATTATTAGATTTCTTTAATTTATAAAAGATTGAAAATACTAGTCCCATTCCTTAAATTTTAGATGATAATTATATTAATAAAATTAAAAAAACTAAGAGTAAATAGATTAAGGCAAATATAGTCAGAAGAGGGATCAAATTGTTATAGGTTTGCGACTATTGGTGGCAAGTTTATATATTCTCCATATTTTGAAATATTTTGTTATAAATCCTTCATATTTTCAACAATTTTATTCAACAAATATCTGCCTACCGATATTTTAATATTAAGCCATACTATTCATTTGAAAAGCAGAGAGACTTAACAAAAAGCTGAGAAAATTTTTAATAGCTCTACTAGATTCAAAGAGTATTAACAATTGGGTTATTTTGTTTTGGAAAAGCCAATTTATCCAGTGATTTAAGAGGGTCGAACAAATCCTAAGTTATTTATTATATACTCACATATTCTATGATTTAGATAAACTTCTTTAAACAGAAAATTTATTAATTAAGGTTATTTTTTATTTTTTAAATTTATAGAGTCTAACGGTTATTTGGACAATTAATCTTATCTATTCAAATTGTTTTAAATAACATTTATTCAGTATCATTTTATTAAATATTCATTAGCATCAATTAGTAACACACTATTATGATTATTATTGAAAACTAGAACAGGAATATACTCATAATTGTTGATTTCAAAATTTAAGCATTTATGATTATTACTGTTCATCCAAAAGCAAGTGTGTTTACTTCTACTTCTGCTATATTGCACCTAAATCCTTTTTCATAAGAATCATCTAATAAAGAAGCCAACAATTAGGAGAAATTACAATAAAGTAGTGATTCAAGAAGTCCAATATTTCTTAGTTTAGTCTTTGTCTCTCCTTTTTATTTTTAATTTGAATAGTTATAACAAATCGAAGGAAATTTGATCGAGAAATGCTAGAAATATATATAGCAATTAAATCTACCTAATTCTAAAGGATTACTTAAAATAGTAATTTTTATGAAAGATGTTATTAAACTGACATTCAATTATCCTGAAAATAATTTAAAGATAGAAAAGAGTAATTGCTCTAAATCAGAGAAATAGAATACATAAATCCTAAAAATAATATGTTAATATTTAAATGATTGTGCAAGATACTATGGCAATTTATAATTACCATTGTATTTTTTAAGTTTAATTTAATCTGATAATCAAACAATTATTTTTATTGATAAACTAAATCAAAATAAATGGATTCAATTTTTTATCTGATATTTCTGCCTTTTTGTTTGCATAAACTCAAAATACGTGGAGGACAGTGTATTCTCTCCTTCCTGGCTAAAACGGGACTGATAGTATTATTAATATTTTATAATTAGATTGGAATAATATAAATTCAATAGATGACCCAATTAGTAATTGTTATGGGTCATAGATAATTGGAGGTTATTTAAAGTTTGGTAAATCTACCTGGATTTCTTTAAATCTTAAACTTCCACCACATTATTCAGCAAGAATTTCTCTCTCATTTTGGAAGTATAAAATAAGCTATATATATTAGAGTTGACAGTTGGGATGGTGAAATTTTCTAATTAATATATGACAATAAGGCATATATTAGAAAGTTTTTTCATGATGAAGGTCTTGATCTTTGTGGTATGGGAGTTTCAATGACCAATAAGTTCGCTTAAACTTTACAATAGAACCGCATTATTCGGAATCCCTAGTAGTAATTATGACTTCAAATTTAACTGAGGGTCCTGATAACGTATGATTTTTTAATTCAAGGAATCATGGGGATTTAACGAATTTTTAATTTAAGTTTTAAAATGTCCTGAAGGTTGTGTTTTTTGTTATGATTATTCATCTAATTGCAAATTCTGGTAGAATATTGCATCATATTGGCAATCATCTTTTAACTCAGAAGGATGGCTAATTGATAACTATGAAAATCTTCCTTCAACTTTATGTGCTGGAATTCAGATTGCAGGAGGAACTAATCATCTGAAATAAGGATAGTATATCAAAAAACTGATTGAAAATATTCCAAAACACCATAAAATATAGCTTGTAGTTAAACTTTGGGTAATAGGCGATTGGAACAATTAAAATTTTATGATTAAGATTGATGAGCAAGATTCATAAACTCTAATTGAAACATATTCCTAAATTAGTTTAAATTGTGGTGATTATCTATTCGTAAATATAAATAATATAGCCATAAATGCATTACATTCATCCCCTCAGATAAAATTAAAATTGAAAACAGAGGATCATTCAATAAATAGTGCATTTTGGGGTTTATCATCATTTGACTTATACATTGCTCAATGTCCATTAAGTTGCGAAGACTGCTATGGAGAATTAGAAACTGAATGTAGTAATTGTCAAAAAAAATGGGGATTTTTGAATGGTAAATGTATCCCAGGTAGTTATATAATTTTGATTAATTAGCTCCTCCATTAGAATATGCCAATATTAGAATCTAAGAAATTTAAGGTTTAAAAGTAAATATCACGGAATCATTTTTATTGTATATAGAGGAATTAAATCTATTTATTACAGAGATCGGTGAAAAAAAATTAATGATAGATAAGAATATTTCTATCAGTACTTGTTAAATTTATTTTAAATGTTAGGAAAAAATATAAATTTAAGGCTAAGTTAGAAACAATTACTCTAATGATGGTTAAGTTTCTTTTTCGAATGATTGCCTCAATTCAAGTAGCATTATAATTTATAGTGTATTATTTATTGATACTGTGTAATCTGAAAAAGAATTAGTAATTTTCATTTCAAAAAAAACAATAGAAATTGCCCAGGTAATACTGTTGAACAATATTGAAACATAAGTTCTTATAATGTAGTTATATTATGATTGATGATTAATCTTTGATATCTTTTACATTATTTTATCTATAATTGTTACCAAACTTATAAATTGAATTGCTTTTAGAAAAAATAATCCTTTATGTTATTTTAATATTTCTAATTATATTCTAAACCCCCCATTCCTAATATAAAATATTAGGAGATAATTGTCTAGCAATTTTATTATTGATTTATTTTAAATCAAAGATAAAGAGGATAATCAAATAACTTCTATAGGTTGCTCTAATAAGTATAAAACTATAAGATGAAGAAAATTAGGTTAGTGATAAACAGAGATGACTTTTTGGATAGAAGAACTCTCACTAAATATTGATTTATTTTGTTTAATTTATCCCTAATTTAATAATGTTTTGTATTGATTAGGGAAAATTTTCACCTTTCATTTACAACTTGATTCACTGAACTTTTGGCTGCTCTATCAAATTTTTTGACCTCATATTTTTTTTCAATGATTCTTAAGTTTTATAATATTTTCTTATTTCTGTTAGATTGCTGACTTCTCAATAATTAATTCTACATCATTATCTCAAAATCATAAATATACATTAAATTTGATTTTTGAAGTCCCAAAATGTATAAATTTGCTTTTTCCAAAAACATTTCATTTGGAATTAGTAGTCACACTTGTGCTTGATTTTTATTATTTCAAGAAAAATAAATCTGATTAATTTTTAAAAATAATTTAACCCTCCAAAAAATATTCTATAATAAATTTAAGGGATAAATATTTTCAACTTATTTTTAGTTGGCTTCCTTGAAACAGATTTTCTTATTACCTCTTTTAATTTATGGAAATCTCTATTCTTATAAACCCATCTTTTTCTTTGCTTAATTCTGTCTTCATTCTCAAAGTAGACTATATTATTTCAATTCTACTAATATTATACCTATTTATTCATTTTTCAGTAGAAAAACTTATTGCTTTTAATATTCGTTAAAATTTTTTATTGGAAAATTTTAATTAATAGAAATTTTTATTTAAGGCTATAACTTAATAATTATTAATTGAGAAATTTTAAAGAAAGGCTCTTCAAATAATATTGGAAGGCAAAAAATAAATTCAATATTAAACAAAATTAACAAACCTTTAAATATTAAATATTGACATACCAATTCAAATTTTAAGCCACATAAACAAAAATTCTTTGTAAATATATTGCTAATGTATCAAAAACAGAGTGAATAAATTCTTTTCAAATTTGATGCAGTTATTTATTTCGTTTAACAATCAAAATTTCAAATTGAATTTCTGCTGTTATCAATCTTAGCTAGAAATTTTAATATATTAAAATAATTTTACTACTTATTCATATTTCTGTTTAATTATCTTATCTAAAATCTTACAAAATGAATCGACTTAAGGCAACAAACAAATTTTGAAAAAAAATTTTCAGAATAATTTAATTTAAATAGAAATTATTTTCAAACATCATATTTGTTTTTGTAACTCAATCCTATATTAAGTTTTAGAGTAGAAAAGAACATTATCAATTTATTTTATTTATATTTTTGGGATCGCGAACTTAACCGCTTTCAATCATAGGTTGAGTTTATCCTGAATACATCATGCCCTAGTTATCTCTCAAGGACTAAAAGGAAAAATAATATAATGATGATAAGGAAGTTCCCTTATCGATATTCTGGACCAATTATATCTGTTTATTTATTTCAGTTTATCCTTCAATCAATGGAAGCTGATAAGTTTTGGAATTGAGAGACCAATTTGCTTTAAATGAATTATTTTATTTGTATGCTATTTATAATTAATAATTTTAATATTACAAATTTCTAAAAATAACACCAATATATTTTAATTATATTATATTACCCTATGATAAATGAAACTGATTGAGATTATAGGTAATTTATAAATTAATAATTTCAATGATATCATTTTTATGATGGCCTAAGGATCAAATTGAATAATTAAAGATTCTAGATAATAAATTATATCTATTTTTGCACTCAAGTAACAGAAATTTAGAACAATCTGTTATGGAAATGAGATCCTTATCAGGAAATATTGTAATAGTATGATTCTCTCTTCATGTAAAATTAGGATCTCAAAATAAATTGATGGTTACTCTTTTAAGAAGAGAACCACTAATCCCACGTTTAGTGAACTAAACAGCTAATTCAATTGATGAAGGGTGATTTGGTCTCTAGCCCGCTGTCTTAATCAAGTATACTAAATAGATTGCAAAGTAATAATTTTATAAAGTAAGGGGAGTGCTGTATCTATTAAATTTAACTTGATTAGAAAATTGGCCAAAAATCCAGTTTAAAGGAAATCCTTTAAGGGTATAAGCTGTGAGAATACAAGATTAGGGCAGTTTTGGGTATCTTGAAAGGTATAAGCATGGATGAAAAGAATTAATGCTAAACTAATCCATTTGAATAGACTATAACTTTATATTAATAACATGCAAGTAATCTTGATTAGGTTTAATAAAAAATCCTAAATCAGACTAAAAATTAGGTTAACTCGTATGAATAATTACATGTTTTATATTAAATTCTCATTAATTCCTTGAGTTATTATATAATAAATATGGATAACAAGAGTAAATAAATGAAGACAATATTTGATGTACTTAAAAATTAGAAAATGACTTAGTTATATTAATGGAAATGAATGAAAATTTGGAATAGAAAAGTAAATTTAGTAATTAATAAATAAAAATGAATCTGCTATAGCAAATGACAAAGTCATTAGATTAGAAGCAATAAGAACATTAGGAAGATCTAGCAAAACAACACTTCGAAGTATTTCTCATTTAAATATATAGAATAAAGAGAAATCAATGAGATACATGAAAAATTGAAATAAAAGGAAAAAGATAACCTACATTGCAAATTATTATTTGATAACAAACTTAAGAAATAGCAGATCTAATAAGATAAAATGAGGAAGATAAATAAAAAATAATACATTCTTTAGAGGATTAAAGTATATTGTTTTTATAGTTTAATACAGTGCAATGAAATCGCTGAAATAAATAAAAAAATGAATTAAAAGGAATTAGAAATAAAGGGAGTTTATAAATAACTTGGTCAAATTAATCAAGTCAAGTTGGAAAATGAAAACCTTTAAAATTATTATTACTAAAAGTAATTATTAATTGAATTAAAATAATGATAGACGTATGAATACTTAGAAGGGTGTAAATTGTTATGTAAGTGAAGGGTGGAAAAGCTGTTTAAAATCCTACAAATGGAAATTAGTATTGTCTTTGCGAAAAAGTAATTCCAAAGATCGAGAAAATATTATTTGCATTCTAAATGCTGAGTGGATTTAGCTTTCTTGTTGGAATTGGGTTTAGAGATATAATATCCAAAAATAAGTATACAAATTTAGGAGTTGGGTATACGTATTAATCCATTAGATTATTAATAGATCATATTTAATTAGAGAGAATGGATTTATTTACTCTCATCATAATAACAATATATAGATGATAAATACTTATCTTTCCAGTGATGTCATAAAAGTTGAGGTAAGTATTGAGCATAAATATATTAAGTGGATAAAATAATGTAATCCGCTATTGGAAATAAATGTAAATATCCATCAATTATTACTAGTAAAAAATAGATACATCACTAACATAAGAATTATATCCATGTGTCAATACATGGTACAATTCTAAAATAAAAATCCTTTATAAAATTCCAGATTTTAATTGAAAAACCACAAGTTATATCATATTTTAGTAAAATTAATAAACTGGATGATATGTTATTTTCCTTTCATACATAAAAAATATGTAATGATCTGAAAAAGATGCATCAAAAGATCAATTTTGTTTTAAATTCATTTCCTTGATCAATTTTAAAAATATCCAATTATCTTGTGTCAATTGAATAAAACATTCAGAGCAATCGAAACTTACTTTTTAAGAGGATGTTACTAATTAAAAATAAGAAAGAGCTTAAACTCAAGGGTTAGGAAATGAAGAGGATTTTGAGTAATTGAGTTAAGATTTCCAATTTAAATGTATCTTTTCTGTAGTTTGATTTTCATAGGTTGTTATTATCAACAACCTAAGACTTGGATTTAGTTATAAGAGAGGTAAGTTTACTAAGGATTGTTTATATTATTAAATTTAGTTTTGGCATTCTAAGATTCATCGCTTAATATTTGTTGTGCATTGTCTTAATTGTTTCTATAACATCTTTAATCGGAAGAAACTTGTCTCTAATTTCAGGGGAAAATTTTATTTTTATTCTTTACCTCAAGGGGCTTTTCAAACTTATAAGTTAAAGTTGGCCAATCCTCAATTTTTTAATCTAATCCATTATCTTCCTTATCATAGAAGTTAGTTTCTTTCCAACCTAATCTAAAAGTTACTTTTACCTATTCTTCAATAATTTTCTTAAACTTTAGCTTATTGAAATATTAATTGTCAGATTAATATTATTTATGAGTTAATCTATCTAGGCAAAGCTTTTTATTTCAATTATTGTGACCTAGATCAATGAGATGACCATGTGTTAATTTCTTTAAACCTTAATTTTTTTTGTTCTCACCCCTGATTCTTTTTTATTCTTATAGATTCTTTGCTCTATGAACTAGAATAAGTAATATTCTAAGTTTTACTACTGACTATTATTATATTAGCTTAATACAGTTTTTAATTTTAGCATCTATTTTTCATTTATAGTGATCTAAGTAAAAATTTAAGGGTTTTTCATTAATTTGTGTCTTTTTGATTAAGCTTGTAATAAAGTTATATAAAGAAGCAATGATTCTTTGAAATTCGGAGTTACATTTGAAGATGATTGCATTGAGGTGTTTTAAATTATTTTTTTATATATATTTATCATTTCATTTTTAGGATCTACAAAATCTTAATAATTATCAATCAGTCACAATAGAAAGTTTTTTGTATTAGTTTTTATGATGTTAATACTTTTAGCCCTTTATAATCATAGAAGAGGAGTTCAAAAATAAAGAAGTTTGCCAAAATTTCCTTTCCTGAGAAGTATTCTGTCGATTATAAATTAAATAATTATCATTTAAAAATTTAAATTTAATTTTGCCAAATTGTCTATACATATTTATATAAGCGTCTATGATCTATCTAAATCAAGTATTCCTTTTCAAATTTGTATTTTTATAATCAAGTATTATATCAATGATATTGTCTTTTTCGTTTTTATGTGAAAAAGGAAGTCCTAATTCTAAAAATAGATTCATAAGATAGGCAAATTCAATTTATTTTTCTCTACAATTAATTATTTGTACTTTATGATTAAGTAACTTCGACCAATGTTTTATTCAAATGTATCAATTTCATATTAAGATTTTAGATTTTTTGGACGGAAAGCGATTTAAAACAATTGGCTAAAAATTCTCAATTAGTTGAATCCTCAATAAATTGGATTATTAGTATATGTAAAATACGATCTTCGTTAAATATTTTTACCTAGTTAAAAAATATATTAAAAATTGTTAGAAATCAAAAAATTAAAACAATTTGTTTTAAATCCAATTTCAAATTTGTCTCTTCATTTTCTCAATTTAATTCATAATAATTTTTATTTCTTTCTATTTGATTTTGCAGATTGCAACATCCTAAAGACTTTCTTGTAAATTACAGCTAACAAAATATTTTCATCACATTCTTAATGAAATGGAATTAGGAATACGACTTTTGGGTAGTTCAAATATATTATTTTTTGTTAACTTTTTATGAAAAATAAATATTCAAATCATATTAAATGTGATATTGCTGTTAAAGTCTTTCAACTGATTGAAAAAGTAAATATTTCTTATTTATAAAAGAGTAGGCAGGAATTTATTTTGTGAATTTATATATTAGAAGTCATTCATGAGATTAAATTTGAATTGATTGATTTATGATATCTTTCTATTTTTTATTTCAATATAAATTATTGCAGGAAGATGAACAATTTTGCTTTGAAAAACCTGCACTACATACTCATTTATATATTCAATTTCTATCTTAGAATCGGTTGCTTATGAGCTTATTTTTTTTAAAAACTCTTGCTTCATTCACTCTAATCTTCTTATAATATTTAGTAATTCGTTTTANAGGGTTTTTCATTAATTTGTGTCTTTTTGATTAAGCTTGTAATAAAGTTATATAAAGAAGCAATGATTCTTTGAAATTCGGAGTTACATTTGAAGATGATTGCATTGAGGTGTTTTAAATTATTTTTTTATATATATTTATCATTTCATTTTTAGGATCTACAAAATCTTAATAATTATCAATCAGTCACAATAGAAAGTTTTTTGTATTAGTTTTTATGATGTTAATACTTTTAGCCCTTTATAATCATAGAAGAGGAGTTCAAAAATAAAGAAGTTTGCCAAAATTTCCTTTCCTGAGAAGTACATATTTATATAAGCGTCTATGATCTATCTAAATCAAGTATTCCTTTTCAAATTTGTATTTTTATAATCAAGTATTATATCAATGATATTGTCTTTTTCGTTTTTATGTGAAAAAGGAAGTCCTAATTCTAAAAATAGATTCATAAGATAGGCAAATTCAATTTATTTTTCTCTACAATTAATTATTTGTACTTTATGATTAAGTAACTTCGACCAATGTTTTATTCAAATGTATCAATTTCATATTAAGATTTTAGATTTTTTGGACGGAAAGCGATTTAAAACAATTGGCTAAAAATTCTCAATTAGTTGAATCCTCAATAAATTGGATTATTAGTATATGTAAAATACGATCTTCGTTAAATATTTTTACCTAGTTAAAAAATATATTAAAAATTGTTAGAAATCAAAAAATTAAAACAATTTGTTTTAAATCCAATTTCAAATTTGTCTCTTCATTTTCTCAATTTAATTCATAATAATTTTTATTTCTTTCTATTTGATTTTGCAGATTGCAACATCCTAAAGACTTTCTTGTAAATTACAGCTAACAAAATATTTTCATCACATTCTTAATGAAATGGAATTAGGAATACGACTTTTGGGTAGTTCAAATATATTATTTTTTGTTAACTTTTTATGAAAAATAAATATTCAAATCATATTAAATGTGATATTGCTGTTAAAGTCTTTCAACTGATTGAAAAAGTAAATATTTCTTATTTATAAAAGAGTAGGCAGGAATTTATTTTGTGAATTTATATATTAGAAGTCATTCATGAGATTAAATTTGAATTGATTGATTTATGATATCTTTCTATTTTTTATTTCAATATAAATTATTGCAGGAAGATGAACAATTTTGCTTTGAAAAACCTGCACTACATACTCATTTATATATTCAATTTCTATCTTAGAATCGGTTGCTTATGAGCTTATTTTTTTTAAAAACTCTTGCTTCATTCACTCTAATCTTCTTATAATATTTAGTAATTCGTTTTACACAGCACAGTACTGTTATATTCCTGGAGACAATATTATAATTCTTCGCAGTCATAGTACTTGAAATCACTTCATTAGGAGTGCAATTTTGCATACCAATTATCTTCTTGAAACTTTTTCTTGCAATTTATTCCAATAAAGCTTAATGAGTTTTAAACCAGCTTTGTAAAAAGCTTCTGTGCTGTACCTAATATAAAATTGCACTAACACTTTCCACATACATACATACCTTTTGCTTTAAAGACATCTAACTCACTAGACATTCTAATTTAAAGGTTATATACTAATTTTTCTTTTAGTGCTTTTACCTCAAACATTCTCGATTCTCTGTGGTCTAAGGCCACCCAAAAATACTTACACTCTCTGACTATAGGAATACCTTCAGTGCCATTCCCTTTACGCTCTTAAACAGAAATATTCCTGATTTAGCTTCATTAACTTTCCATCCCCATGCCAAGCTCAACTCGCATAATTTAATTACAAACATTTGGGTCAACTTATTTTATACAAAGTAAACAAGATCTTCAGTATGAGCTAAACGCTAGAAGGCTATTCCAGTTTCTGTATAAATTTTTAAGAGTAATTCATCAAGATATGTTTTAACTATCAATCGAGTATAGGGGAACCTTATACAAGACCATTCTTAAACCAGATTGTTAGTCTATTTGTTAATTGGGTCTTCAAAATATATTTAAGATTGAATTCCTCTCATAAACTCAATTTCAGCTTCATTTAGTCTATTTTAGAATTAAGTAAGCATTAGAATAGTTAATAAAAATGGCATCCCATTTCAATTCTCTACTTTTTGTGCCACTTTAGATTTATCCATTCTCATCTTTGAAAAAATAAATAATCCTCCCTCTTTCTTATCAAGGTTAAGTTAGGTAAGCATCTTTATTTTTGAGTAAGCAATTTTATTTTCTACTCATAAAATTTTAAGCTATTAACTCTTACTACTCTACTCTTTTATATTTTAACGCTCCTTTAGCTTTAATTAACATTTAATTCTGCCAAGATTTGAGAAACTACTAAAATCGATTTCTTTCTCCTACATCTATTTACCTCCATCAATAAATACAGCATCCAATAATGATGTTCAGGTTCGACCATTTATTGTTCTGTCCTTCAGATCCATAATATTCAAGGAACCCCTCAAATTCAACGTTGCTACAATTAAAATCCCCACAGATAATAACTCTCTAAGAGGTCGTTTTCTTTTAGATAAAGCCTATAAACGATACTTTCAGCTCGTTTTTAACTTTCATTAATATATATTTTTTATTAAAATAGAAGTTAAAGACAACTAAATCTAGAATTTCATTTCTACAAAATATTGTAACAAACTCATATTACTCACTTGAAGGAAGCTAAAATTATCAAAAAGGTCCTTACATTTATGAATGCCTATTGCAATATTACATTAATGAGCACATTATCCTGGCATATAAATATAGTTATATGCAGGAGAATTTTAACTTTATCTGATTTCTTACAAACAATATGTTATGAGGATTGTTCTTCTTTAACAATCCAGCATTCCTTTTTTAACTGAATATATGTTCCAACAAATTAATCTAAGAATAAGTGTTGTTTTAATGTCAGGATTTTACTTTTCCAAACGTCCTTTTTGGTTGATTATCTATGTTCGACAGAGTATTGTCTCCTCACCAGTTATGTCACTTCAAATTTGATAGCTGCCTTGCTATCTTCAACCAGCTCTTTGGCTGAAACCATAGTTTCATTGGATAAATTCTTGGTTAATTTCCTATTGTTTTGTTCTTAATTAATTCTCATTCATTAGTTAATTATTTTAGCTTTACATTCTAGATTAATTGTAACCTCCTTATTCTCATCCATTATCCATTATGATATCTCCTTCTATTTTAGATATTATTATTGAAATTCTTGAACTATTAATATTCTTCAAAACATTCTTTAATTGCCTATTGTGTTTTTCTCTATCCAATTAATCCTACCTATTATAATTTTAATTGTTTCTTCTTGTGAAATTTCTTCCGTTATTATTGGTTGCTCTTAATTGCTCATTCCTCTTTTTCAATACACTATATGGCCCATTGTTTCAGTATAAGTATATCTAATTTTAATTTTAGGGTGATCCAAAATTGAAGTATCTCTTCAAATTTGTATCAAAGACCACTACATAAATTTTTGAGCTAAGTGCAAGCCATATAATATATTCATTATTAATTTCCACTTCTAGAACTTTCAATGATATTCTCCCTTTATATTTGTCTATCAATCTATCTAACTATTATTATATTTCTTGTCTGTTCATTTGTAATTTTTCTGCAATTATTGATATTATTTCACTTCTTCTTTCAATTTCGCTTTAAATATATTGAACTAACTCGATAGCATGTCTGCCATCTTCTTATTCATCCTGATTTTCTCTTGTTAGCATACCTATTTGTTCATTTAAGTTTTATATTTCCTCTCTATGCTTGAATATTAAGTACCTTCAACCTATTTAATTTTTACCATTCAGTTATTATATCTCATTCGTTTTACTTCTTTAAAAAAATTCAATTATTTTTGATGTTCAAGCGCAGCTAAAAAATTCATAAATAATTACCTTGGCAATTCATTTTACATTACTTGTATTTATTCTTTAATTATATTGACTAATATAAATTATTCTTCTAGCTTAGGATGCATACTCAGCTATATATTCACTTATTGGATTGAGGAGAATTTATTTAAATTAGTTTGAATCAAATTTGAGTTGCTTATCACATAGGAAATATAATTTTATTTTATTTTACAGATTTAATATATAATTTATTAAATAAATCATTTTTCATAAATCAAATAAATTCCTATAGAAGTTAAATAATAAATTTCTATATTATTGTAATTAAGTATCTAATGTTGTTTATGAAAAAAGGAATTTGAATATTATAATGACTCTTCGAATCTGTTCATTTATTTGAAAATTACATTTAAAATTATTTGAAATTAAAGATATTGCTAAAAAGTATAAATTATACATTTGTACCATTTCCGATAGAATATTCAGGATATTGTGAATTTTCTTCTGCAGTTGTATTATAACTTTATAAGAATTCTGAAAATCTCTTCATTTCTCTTAATGCCTTTGCTAAAGAAATATCAGATGTTGATTATTAATACCTTTTCGATTGGAATAGTGAGAATTTTCAGGATTTTTAGGAGTATCTGAATAAAAGTGTTGCAATTGCTCTATAAATCTGTCCATTTAGCTTAACGCTTTTCCTAAAGAATTTCATTTTATTGATTTATACTTTTTCCATTGTGATATTCTGAATTTTCAGGATTTTTCTAAGTGCCACTATAGAAATATCGTAATTACTCTTCAAATTTGTTCATTTAACTTAGCGATATTGCTAAAAAGTATAATTTATAGATTTATACAATTTCCAATAGAATATTCAGGATTTCGTGGAATTTTTTCAACAGCTGAATTATAACATTATAAGAATTCAGAAAATCTCTTCATTTCTCTTAATGCCTTTGCTAAAGTAATATCAGATGTTGGTTATTAATACCTTTTATTTTGGATTATTAAGAATTTTCAGGATTTTTCCGAGTATCTGAATAGAAGTCTTGTAATTACTCTATAAATCTTTTCATTTAGCTTAATGCCTTTCCTTAAGAATATAATTTTTTGATATATACTTTTTCCGTTGCGATTTTTTGAATTTTCAGCACTTTATTAAGTTCCCCAATTGATTTATTCTAAAGACTCTTCAAATCTATTCATTTATCTTAAACATATTGCTAATAAATTCAGATTTTCATTTACACCTTTTCCATTGAAATATTTAGAACTTCCAGGATTTAATTACATAGCTGAATCGAAATATTGTAATGACTCTTCGAATCTATTCATTTATCTTAAACATATTGCTAAGAAATTTCATACGTTCTTCATACCTTGTCCATAGTAATATTCAGAATTTTCAGGATTTAGATACATAGCTGAATCGAAATATTGTAATGACTCTTCGAATCTATTCATTTATCTTAAACATATTGCTAAGAAATTTCATACGTTCTTCATACCTTGTCCATAGTAATATTCAGAATTTTCAGGATTTAATTACATCGCTGAAACGTAATATTATAAGGACTCTTCAAATCGATTCATTTATTTTAAGCATATTGCTAAGAAATTTCATATGTGTATTTATACCTTTTCCATAATAATATTCAGAATTTTCAGGATTTAGATACATAGCTGAATCGAAATATTGTAATGACTCTTCAAATCTATTCATTTATCTTAGACATATTGCTAAGAAAGTTCATACGTTCATTTATACCTTGTCCATTGTAATATTCAGAATTTTCAGGATTTAAATACATAGCTGAATAGAAATATTGTAATGACTCTTCAAATTTATTCATTTGTCTTAAACATATTGCTAAAAGAATTTATATCTTCATATCTACCTCTACCATAGTAATATTAAGATTATTCAGGGTTTATTTTAATAGCTGAATCGAAATATTGCAATGACTCTTCAAATCGATTCATTTATCTTAAACATATTGCTAAAGAACTATAGATCTTTATTTATACCTTTTCCTTCGTAATAATCAGAATTTTCAGGATTTATTTTAACAGCTGAATCGAAATTGTGCAATGACTCTTCAAATCTATTCATTTATCTTAAACATATTGCTAAAAGAATTTATATCTTCATATCTACCTCTTCCATAGTAATATTAAGATTATTCAGGGTTTATTTTAATAGCTGAATCGAAATGTTGCAATGATTCTTCAAATCTATTCATTTAACTTAAACATATTGCTAAAAGAATTAAGATCTTCATTTCTACCTTTTCCATAGTAATATTCAGAGTTTTCAGGATTTATTTTAATAGCTGAATCAAAATATTGTAATGACTCTTCAAATCTATTCATTTATCTTAAACCTATTGCTAAAGAACTATAGATCTTTATTTATACCTTTATGATTGAAATAATCAGAATTTTCAGGGTTTATTTCAATAGCTTAATCATAATATCTTTGTGAGCTTTCGAATCTATGCATAGATTATAACGTGATTGCTAAAAAGTAGATTGTATATTTCAACCTTTTTCATCGTAATATTCTGAATTTTCAGGATTGTGTTAAATAGCTAAATCACAATGAACTAATGCTGATAAAAATCTTTTCATTTATTGTAATGTCTTTGCTAAAGAAAAATTTATTATTTTTATTTCTACCTCTTCCTTTGTAATAATCAGAATTTTCAGGATTTGTTTTAATAGCTTAATCGAAATATTGCAATGACTCTTCAAATCTATTCATTTATCTTAAACATATTGCTAAAAGAATTATGATCTTCATTTCTACCTTTTCCTTCGTAATAATCAGAATTTTCAGGATTTTTTTTAATAGCTGAATCAAAATATTGTAATGACTCTTCAAATCTATTCATTTGTCTTAAACATATTGCTAAAAGAATTATGATCTTCATTTCTACCTTTTCCTTCGTAATAATCAGAATTTTCAGGATTTTTTTTAATAGCTGAATCGAAATTTTGCAATGACTCTTCAAATCTATTCATCTATCTTAAACCTATTGCTAAAGAACTATAGATCTTTATTTATACCTTTTCCTTCGTAATAATCAGAATTTTCAGGATTTATTTTAACAGCTGAATCGAAATTGTGCAATGACTCTTCAAATCTATTCATTTATCTTAAACATATTGCTAAAAGAATTTATATCTTCATATCTACCTCTTCCATAGTAATATTAAGATTTTTCAGGGTTTATTTTAATAGCTGAATCGAAATATTGTAATGTTTCTTCAAATCTATTCATTTAACTTAAACATATTGCTAAAAGAATTAAGATCTTCATTTATACCTTTTCCTTCGTAATAATCAGAATTTTCAGGATTTATTTTAATAGCTGAATCGAAATTTTGTAATGACTCATCATATATTTTCATTTATTTTAACAATAGTGCTAAATAATATTTCTTTTACAACTTTACCTTTTCCATTGTAATAATCAGAATTTTCAGGATTTTTATTAATAGACGAATCAAAATATTTTAATGACATATGCTATTTATTGATTTATTTTAAAGAGTGCATGAGATTCTATAATATCACTTTTACTTTAGAAATATGATATGACTATTTATACCTTTTTCAGTTTTATAATTAGAATTTTAAGGATATGTTTGCATACCTTATTCTAAGTATTTTACTGACTTATTACTTTTATCAATTTATTTTAACATTAGTTCTAAAACATAATAAATTGTTCATTTATACCAAGTACTTTGTAATTAACAGAATCCTTGGGAGTTTATTTAATAGCTGATTCAAATCTATGTAGTATCTCTTCCAATCTATTCATTTATTTACAAAAATAATATAATTAAAAATAAAATTTATATTACATTTATACCTTTTCAATTTATAAAAAGAAATTTTATGATTTATTTTAATAAGTGATTCTAATTATTATTATGACTTTTCCAATTCATTCATTATATACAATAATTCTCAATTAGAACAAGTGCTAAAGAAATAACAATTTTCTATTTGTACCTTTTCATTTGTACTAATCATAATTTTGAAGATTTATTTAATAATTGAATCAAAATATTGTAATGACTCTTCAAATCTATTCAGTAATATTGTTATGGATAATGCCTATGCTATGAAAAAATAATTTATAAATTCAACCCCCCAAGATTAACTTCACAGAATCTTCAGGATTTATATAAGTAGATAAATCCTAATACATTAATGATCTTTCATATCTTTACATATTGCATATTATAGAAATAATATTATTCTTAATTAAAAATTGTGCTAAATACTCACTTGTATATTTATACCCTTTCCTTTGTATTATTAACAATTTTCATAATATTGAAATGACTCTTCAAATCTATATATATTGCATAAAAACGCATAAATTGTTTTAAATTCACTCTTACTCTAAATTAATATAAGTTTTTTGATACATCTTAAATTGACACATAAGTTCTCAAGAATATAACCTTTAGATTTATATAATTTTATTGTGAGTATTTTTCTAGGTCGACAAACCGCAAAATTATATTGACTTATTCTAACTATTCATTTGAAATTTTATTTATAAACCATACATATATCAATACATATCATTTTTTACTTTGAAATTATTTGCACTAATTCAATAATTAAACAATTTACAGTTATTAACAAATGCGTATTCAACTAATTCAAAACTACTAGTTATTGATTGCTTATTCCTTCGAATTTATCATTTTTATGCTTAGTCATTAAACTTTCAAGAAACTGAAATAATCTAATTTTGAAATTAATTATTTAGCTTACTTAAATACCCTCGAATAAACTAAGCTTACTCTAATAGATCAATTATTTTTATACTCTCTGTAATTTTGACATTATTCATTTTTCATATAAATTATCATTTAGCATAATTTTTAAGTATTTTTGAATTTTTAATATTCTTAATTATTTATATTAGAGAAGACGCATAAAAATTTTATCTCTCATATTTTTATTTGTCCAATATTTACATTGTCAAATTTTCCCAACAGCTAATTTTATCATCTGATAGTACAACACTATATATAATTGCCCAAAGATATATACTCATTTTAGTTGAATCTGAATTAATTTTTCACTTTCCCATAAATTTTTATATTCATGATCAGAATACAAGCTCTCTTTACTGTGCAATCAACTTTGAGATTTAAAAAAAGAATTTATCTTGAAATTTGATTTTAACTTTGCAAAAATAATTACTATCTAAAACCTAAGTATCAATTTAGTTAAGCAAAGTATCTACTTTATTCTATTTTTTTATTAACCATATACTTGAGCTTTACAAAATTATCATTACATCAATTTTAAGATATTATCTATCGTAATTAGTCTCTAATCACTGGATTCATAATAATTATATTTTGACTTAGTCTTGCGCCTTAACAATAATTAATTTTATGAATGTTGTTTTATATATTATTAAATAATTTTCTCTCCCTTTATAAATTATTGTTGAAGTGTTATTTTTAATATTCTTCTTTCATCTCCTTTGTAGTTTGTTTCATTGATGGCTTTTGTTGCGATATCTATTTTTTTAATTAAACTCTAAATATCTCTGGGCTTAGAAATTAAGTAATTTTTTAACTAAAATCTAATTTTATGCATTCTATACAATTTACTTTCTAGCTAAGATTTAGGGGAGCTCTCGAATAATTTATAGATAGATAATTCCTAATTTCCCAATTTACACTCCCTCAGAATACCTAGGTATCCATTCTTTTCTTTCCTGTCGGTTATTTGATAATCCAATAATCATTTCTTTCTATAAAAATTTCATTAAATTATATCTATTTTCTCATTAAACTATTTACTAGACTGAGTAATGTTTTAAAGTTATTAAATTGTGATCAAAATATAAACAAAAGACATTCTCTTGTTTCCTCTAAATAATATTTCGTTGATCAATATAGATCAAAAAAGAAAGTTTATATTAAAAAGGAGCAAACGGATTCAACTACAAGATGCTAATTTGGTTTTTATTATCTTGTTTTAACATCCCATAAATACAAACTTAAATATTAAAATTATCGCTTTACAATTTACTATGATTTAGACGAGAAATAAGTATTCAATTTGCTTCTCAAAAAAATTATGGATTCAAACGTCTTATATTGAAAATACCAAAACTATTATAGAGTGTCTACAAGAATTAACTTTTGAATCCTTAATTTTATTATTGAGCGAAATAAAAATTGAAGGTGACTAATTATTATAATTTGAATTTAATGATAGCTTGCAATCGAATAATAGATAATTCAATTTATTCTGATTATTGTTCGATTCATGATAATTTTTGCCTCATTTAACATTAAAATATTTTCTATTTTATTTTCAAAATTTATATTTAGTATTACTAAATGATTTAGGAATAGACCTTTCTGATAAAGTTTTATTAAATTTAATATTTAAATTATATTCATCAAATAAATTTTAAGTTGAAACATTTGCTGAAACTTGTCTGGTTTCAAGCACTATTTAATTATAATAACATGGTATTCCAATAACTTCCTCTAAGATTCTGTGGTCGTTGATACGGCAATAGTATTTAACATATATTCCACTCATTGTTGAATTGCTTAGATTGACATATAGTACTCACCATCTCTGTCCTATAAATTAAGTAAGTATTCTTATTCTTAAATCATCCATTAGACATTTGATAATTGTATTTATTAGTAATTTTAATTTATATATAAATAACATTTGAAGAAACAAATTTACCTTATCTTTTAGTAATTCTAATTCAATTGAATAAAAAAGATAATCATTTAAACAACTCAATACATTTACATTTAAAATTAATTAACAACTCTCAAAAACTTCAATATTTTAAATTTATCATACAAATTATAATAAGTCACCCCCATAACAAGTTCATCTTCTAAATTGCTGATAAAATTATTATTTCAACTATTTATCAGCTAAGCCCTAATACTTTTTTTCATAAAAGTTTTAGAATAAAATGGAATTTAGATAGAATTCTAATCAACTATTCACTCTCCCAGAATAAAAATCTGAGTATTTGCATTCATTTTAATATTAGCACATTTGCATATACTTTTATTTTGATATCCTCAAAATCCTTATGGCTCATAATTGAAATACGAATTAAACATCACATCTTATTCAATAAATATTAAAAATTTTGATTCTATGAATTTTAGAAAAATTGATGGATTCTTAAAATGAACACGCGTGTTTAACTTCTAAATTACTTCATTTTACATTTAAGAATTAGCTTGTGCAGTTTTGAAATAAAATGAAATATTAGTTATATCAACTATTCATTAAATATTATATTTTGAATAAAAATAAAAAAATCACCAACCCGTAGACTTGAACTCGGAACTTTACTGCTTCAGAGTAACGTTTTACCACTAAACTACTTGATGATGCTGAAAATACTAATTGAGAATGACTTAAACATTAATTTGGAATCATTTTTCTTCTTTTGTCATTCTTTTACCAACTTGAGATAAACCAATTGTTTTGTGAAATTTATGCTTTTTATTATCTTAATTCTAATTTTAACAATTCAAAAACTAGAATAAAGGATTTTTGAATTCTAAATGTCTTAATTAAGTAGACAATATTTTCAAATAATTTCATAACAATAAGCAAGATATATTGACCTAATTATTTGTAACAATTTAATTGCGCTAGTTGAAATTCCATATTAAATTTAAAAGCTTACCACTTACACAATTGACTAAAAATCTCTTGCTTGCTTTATTGCCTTATATTTTGAGGTATATTATTTGCATTAAACTTAATATAATAAATCCAATTTTTTATTTATTGTATAGAAGAAAAATTAGAACTTGGTGAAGTTTGAAATTAAACTATTAGAAGTAATCTATATAAGTGATTGCATTTCTTTCAAGAGGTATGAAAATCAAAGTTGAGTTTATAGTATAGAATCATAAGCCAGATAATGATAAATAATGATAAATCGAAAATTCTGTTACAGGTAAGCCTCATATTAATATTCCAATATTTGTGTAATGTAAATAAAGTAGTAAAATCTCATAGCTTATACTAAATTAGCCATAAATAATTATTGCATAAATAAGCATATCAATTAAGAACAGAATCTCAATGTAAACAAGTAAATTTTCAATAAATCTTTTAGTTAAATACTATTATTTAGATGATAACATACTTATTTGATTATCAATAGAAGTTTACCTACAATGAAGTATAATTCTTATTGTAAAGTGATACTAAAAACTCAAAAATCTATAAATCTTTAAGAATAGAATTCTTCTTTAATAGGAAAAGCATGTATTAAAATACATTTCCTTCCTATTTTTTCTGCTAAGAATCCCCATATTGCTGAACCTACACTCGAATAACGGATTGGATTAATATTTAAATTATTTAAATATATCGTTAACCCTAAGTTAAATGACCCACCAAATATAGATAGTTTAATTATTGATACATTCCATTCCTATTCTAATGTTGTGGTTAATGATGACAAAAAAAGAAACTCGGCACCATCAAAGAAATCCATAAAACTTATGATGAAGAATTTTCTTAATTAATGCTTACCCAATCCTAATTTTTACTCTAATAAATATAATTCAGCCATATTTTATTATATAATCAAAAATCCAATCACTCATTTGATTAATATATTTATTGGATAGCAATTGAAAAGAATGTACCTGTTCTATTTTTACAATTTTATGAAAATTTGAATAATCTGAAATAATAGTAGTAATCATCTAACTTTATTTCTCAGTAAAGATTAAGTAAAGAATAAGATTGTTTTGTGGATGATGCCTGATAATATTAAAAACTAAAGAATGATTATATTAAAAATTTAATCCTTATTTATAATGCTGTAAAATCTCAGATATATTGTAAGGCTTCAGTAATTAGGTATTCTTTTATTTATTTATTAATTAATTGATAATATATATATTATTACAAATAGTAAAATAAATTTAGAGAAGAATTCAAATATTAAATTGAAGAATTTCTAAAATATGCTAGTGTTAATGAAATTAAAATAAAATATTAAGAATTCTCTAAACTGGTTAAAATAATTACATTTAAACTTAATTAGAAGTTGTAATGAATTATGCATTGCTATTTATAAGATATTTCAGGACTGAAGTTACTTTGTAAAAATTAAAGAGCAGAGAAAAGGAATTATTGTATTGAAGATGGCTTAATAACTATTAGATGTCTTTTTCTAAAATTTTGAATTAATTAAAATAAAAGAAATTGGAATTATCGCAATAAATAAACTTTGAAAAATCATAATAATATTAGAATAACTATTATTTTCAATATGCACTTCAATAGAAAAATGAATAAAATATTGATATTTAAAAGAACGTAATTCTCTTGTATTTTACTTCGATTTAGCCTTCTGGGATAGTAATGAAATTTAGTAAATATCCTATGATTACATTTTGCTTATAGTGTTTTTCACATTCTCTTATAAAAGTGGCAAAATGGATGGTAGAATTAGAGTATATTAAAAATTAAGAAATTAAGCAAAATAGCTGGCTAAGTATTGCAATAAAAGACAATTGAGAGAAACATAATAAAAATTAGGATTAATGAATAGTTTCTTTTTTTTAAGAAATGAATAAAATTTTACAAATGATAATAAAAAAAGTAATTTTTCTCTACTATTCTTCATTAAATTATATATTTACTTTTTAGAGGATGGTTTTTGACTAATGATCAAAGACAAGACCAATTTAATAGTAAGTAAATATGGATCTTTCACCCATAAAGATTATTTGAATTTTTTTTTAGACTATATCAAAGCTTTATATTTTATTCTAATAAAATAAACTATCATGCAAGCTGGGAATGAATATTTTAGCTCACTATTTCTGTCCAAACTTTTTTCAGATCCATTGGCTATACAGAATTCCTTAATTCTCCTGATTACATATTTTATTAGAATTTTTCTATTATTAATTCTAATGATTGAGAAGATTATTCTCCAGAGCAGGCTATTATGCTAATTAGCTTTCTTATTTACTTTTTTAGCTTACAAAATTGATCAATTATATTAGATGGATAGCCTGCCTCTCCATCAGTATAAAATAATATTGAAATTCTAAGAATTAATAACTTTTTACTTATCAAAGGTTGTATTTTTTTAAATCAATTCTAGTGCTAACCTAAATGGAGGTTCAAAAGATGTATTGCCTCCCTTAAAGAGAATTAATTTATTCATTTCACTTTGATTTGGTTTTTAACATTCAACTACTATTCTTGCATCTCCATTAAAGATTATAACGCTAACGCTAACTTAATTTCTATTTTATAAACAATTTATAATATGTAAAGCTCCGCTTTATGCCTTAACCCATTTATCTCCCTGCATTGAACTTGAATCGTCAAGAATGAGAATATAATGAATCTTTTAAGTATCATTGTTGAACTCAGATTTGTGTAAGAATGTGACTTCTTGATTGAATTATTATTCTAGATGTGAACAAATTAATTTTCCCAAACCAATATTCCAAATATTTCTCCATTTGGAGTTATTCTGATGATTTTTTGTTTCATCTTAATTTTTGAAATTCCAATTTGAATGTCTCTTTTTGACTTCTCTCCAAGTATTCTATTGGTTAGTTTCAAGGGTCTTAAGCTTGCAATCATCAAGAATTTCTTCGCAAGTGAATAACGATGGATTAGTTTTACTAATCAAAATGCCATTGATCGCTTGATACAGAATATAAATTACCTCTAATTTAATGGCCATTTTAACATTAATGGGTATGTTTATCATCTTTATCATAATCTTGATCACATTTTCTTTTACAACATGGGCATGTATATTCACAACCATTCATTTTCAATTTTAACTTATCAAATTCAACATCAAGTTAATATTCATGTTATTTGAACAATATTTAATCTAAAGTACTTAATGTTATATCGATTTATTCGATTAATGTTTCAACAAATGACTTTAGATTATAAACCTATTGATCTTGCTTATTTTCTAATTACCAATTTATATTAAATGCATTATCTATAGGAATGTAATTGCTAATGTCAAAGATCTCTTGGTATTATTGATCGATTATATCAATTTTATCATTATTTTTACCTAAAATACATTAAATAAGTAATCTATATAGATAATTTTCATAAAATATTTAATTTTTGGAATTGGCATCCTCCTTGAAATACCCTCTAGTCTTTACTTCCTTTTTTTAATGCTTAAGGTATTTAAAGACGATTAAAGCATTTTCTTTAATACTCTTTAAGTATAAACATAATTGTTATTGATATTCCTTTGAATATTCAGTTAACAATTTATTTTATGCTTATACTAACAGATCCTATGTATACTTATTAATAAATGATTTATGATCAGTTGTATACAATAGTATTTTTTGTTTAAATTTGTCATCTTAAAACATTTTTTCATTCACATCAATTAATAATTCCTTATCTAATTTCCTTATAACTTCAAAGCTCGACATGCTTGTTAAGCTCATTTTTTGTAACACTTCGTTTTTAGTTCTAGCTAAAAAACTTTTTTTTGAAGAAATTCTTATGTTCTTAGTCAATAGAGTTGCTTTAATCGAACTTTATTTTTAATTATCTTAATTAATTTCCGCTTTACATCGAGTTAGTTCAGTTTAATAATTATTCTAATGATTTTATTAGATATTTTTTGAATTCCATCTTGAATAACACAGGAATCTCCATATAATTAAAATACAATAATAACAGATGCATCTTTCTCCAACATCAGATAAAATCACACCAAATTAAGCAAATTAATTGTTATATTATACTTTAATCTTATTTTCAACCTTTGATATTATACTTGCAACTAAGTAAGGATTAAAAGATGAAATATTCTCATCTTCTTTATTTTTTTGATAAACCTAATGGTTAGTTGTTAATTTTGAATAGCCAATTTCTTATTTTATTAAATCATAGAGTTCTTAATACAGTTTTTTCCAACCATTTTAATTGATCATAATTGTATTAAATTGTTAAGGAAATTTTGTTTCGAAATATGAAGGGATATCAATTTGAGGTTACATTATGTAGTCAAAAGATTCAAAAAAGAAATTTTAACTTGATTTGATTTCAATATGTGTCTCAATAATTATATACTTTTATGTAATTTCTTCTTTAAATTTTTAATTATTATCCCATGATTCATCAGTTATTTAGCTAACTTTTAAATTTTAATAAATTTAAGTAAAATATTTCCCAATTGTTTTGTCAGACAAATCAATTTTTTGATTCTCATTAAAATAGAATTGAAGCGATTTTTACAATTCCTACAGAGATTAACTCATCATCTATTGTTTATTTTCTGAAGGAGAAGATATGATAAAATCTAATTATTCTTTTAACTTTTTATCATAATTAATTAGTAAACAGTCTAATAGAGATATAAATTGTTAATAACAACGTTTTAAATTATTAAGATTATCACAGTTAGCAATAAACTTTTGAAAATCCGATTCAAATTTATTATTTAAATATTATTAAATATCAACTTTTGCTACAACATCATATTTGATTTTCTAAGAGTAAAATTATTTCATATTTAAAATATAATCCTTAGATTGTTCTATTTTCTCTTTAATTTTTTAGTTGAAGATATCAAGATAAGGTAAATTTTATTTGATCTTTTGTATTAGTATGAATTAATTATTTTCTTAGAATTCTTTTGAAAAAAGTTAAAATATTTATTCATAATCCTTGTTTTTTTAATCATTAGGATTTTATATTATTATATTTTCCCTCAAAAATGTCATATATTCTTATTCATTTTTTGTATTTAAAATATATTGAGTAGAAATAGATTTAAGAGCTTTGTATTATATATTTACCATCTTCTAATATTCTTATTCTGATATTCTTTTAGATTCATTTAAAAATTATTCCCAAATTTGTTAAAATTCTTTTTCGATTAAGTTGTCATTTCCCTAAAATTTCTCTTTCATATTTTAGTCATTTAAGACTGTTTAAATAAAATTATCAATTTTAACATATCCTTTCTTTTATTAATATTCTACTTCATACAACTTCTTTAGTTACTTTATTAAAAAGAATCAACAGAATTTTTAATAAAATATATTTTATATCTCCTCACTTTTAATTAAAGTTTCAAGCTTTTTCAAGAATTTTTGCATGATTTTTTTCTAAATTTTATTTTCTCCTTTGAATGTATTCATACTCTCTACTATTTTATTTGTTATTTATGTAATTATTGAATCAATTTCATTTTCTTTTTCTAATAGTATCTATTTATAAAAATCAAAAACTATTTACTTTTGATTTGCTATTTGAAATTTAGTATCTTAAAGTAACTTCTTACCTACTTAGGTTATATCTTCTGTTTTCCAAAGATCATCAAAATACCTTTTCATCATTAAATTTTACTAATGCTAAATTAGCTCACTAAATTCTAATAAATCAGGCAATTTTTCTATACTTTACCAATTTCTTTGAGCATTTTAAAAAAATTGATTACAATTATTTAAAGATTTATTTTTGTCTTAGAGTTTTGAAATAAACTACTTTATCATTTTGATCCCGTATTTATATGCTTCTCTTGAAAAAGTATGATTATTAACTGATTGATTCCAGCCATTTTTACCCCAATCTTTTTAATCTGAAGCAAAGCCTAAACCAGTAATATTATCTTTTATATCTAAAATATCTACATAATCAATATATTCTGCTTATTAATTTTGATAATTTTCATCCAACTTTAAATTTTATGCAAGGTCTTTAATTTATTGCTTAAATGGTTCAACATTTTTGTAATTATCATTTTAATTGAAAAACCAACTTAATTATTTAAACATTGAGAGCCCGTTTTTTAAATGACCCAAAGTAAAAATGCACATTTCGACCAAACTTTTAAATTATTAATTAATTTCTCCTTTTACATTTATTATAATAATATCACTAATTGAAAGCACAAATAATGCAATCTTTTTATCAAATTCTGGATCATTTTAATTTGGATTTTATAAGCCTTCTGTATCTAAAATTAGTATTTAGTCAAATCGATTTTGAAATAATTCTTTATTTTAAACTTACAAGATTTATAAATGAATTCCTTTTGTACATCTCCCAATGCTAGTCCAAAAATGGCATCCAAAGATTTTATTTAAGATAGTGGATTTACCTGAACTTTAAGGACCTAATATACTTATAACTAAGATTTTTTTTTGGTTATTCTACATTATTTTATTTTCTAAGTCAAATAAAAAATCAGTGTTGATGGATAAAGTATCACCATCTAGGAATTCTAATGATTCTCCTTTTTTAATTAATTAAGAGAGTATTTAAACTGGATCAAATTTTAGATTATTATATATAGATTTTCTTAAACTGATTAATTCTCTCCAAAATAATTCAATACCAACATTTTTTTGAGAAATATTTAACTTATTTGTAACCATTTTTTATTTCAATTAAGACATTTATATTTTAATTTCCTTTTTCTTGGGATCTTATTATAATTTTTCTAATTCATTGTTTAAATTATTAAACTATTCATTTAATTAAAAATCAGTTTTTTATAATTCTATTAAATTTTTTTCATTAAATTGCCTAATTTTATCTACAATCCCAAGGTAAACAATATAATAATGTTTTAGGTTAAAAATTTCACAGAAAAGTTTCAACAAATCAGTTGCATCTTATTTATCAATTTTTTATTCTAAGTCCTTAATTAATTATGTATTCCTGTCAATATCCTTTTTATTATCTTAAGGTTTCAAACATAATTCATAATTTTGCTATCTTAATTTCTTAATATTCCATAAAATACGCCTTATAGGAAATGCATCTTATGAATAAAATCCATCTTGCGAATTAACTATTAGATTAAGTTTTTCCTATATTTTATTAATTAGATTATTATGGTTGTTTATTTATTAAATGTTATTAGTGTAATACGGACTAAACTATTCTAGTATCTATAGAAATTTGTTTTATTATTATTAGGGTTATCTTTATCTGGATGCAAGTCTATTTTAATGGTTGAAAATGATATTAAATAAGAACTTGGAGACATTTTAAATTTAACTTATTTTAAATTATTTGTCTATTTAATTTGCAACTAGATTATGAATATAAATAATTGAAATATTTTTACCTTCTATTTCATAAATAATTGGTTATTTGTTCATTAATTCTTTCTCCTCTGTATTTCTTACAATAAAACAAATTTCAAGCTCTTCCTTGAATTATTAATCAATGGATTTTAGAATTTTTCTAATTGAATCTAAATTTTGCTAGAATTCTTTCTCAGAATCCATTTAAACTATCCATAATTAAAAAAACGGAATAATCTTTATTAAAGTTTCAAAAATAATCGATCCATGAACATCAGCCACAATAAAGTTTCTTGAATTATTGAATTCGAAATCAAACATAATATCAATCGTATTTTAATTCATTTTGCATTTGTCGCTAGTTTCAAATTTTTCCCTTCCATAAAAGATTGTGTTGATAAGGTCTGTTTTACCAATTGTTTTTAGATTCTAACTTAATGACAAATTAATTATTGTATAACCTTAGTCAAAAAAGTAAAATAAATTGCTATTTAGAAGCAGTAATTCTGTTTTTGACTTAAGATTATCAATGATAGGATTTTAGTATAAAAAGGGGATAGGAAATTCTTTTGAAAAAAATTTCATTAGGATTAGTCTTAATTCCTCATTTGCGTTATTGAAAAAGATCTAAAATAATGATTTTAAATTAAAGCATCCAATTTCATCTGCTAATTACTTATTTTTTTACAAAGTTTCATTGGCTAAAATTAGTACTTCTTAAGGCGATTCCCCTCTTTTAATTAAATTAAAAAATAGAGGAATAATTTAGTTAAATATTTATGCGTTTGTCATCTCTTAAATCCAATTCTCAAGAACCTATTTTTATTCTTATTCGCAATACTCACTTAATGATATGTTGAAATCCTCTAAAGGTATTTCCATTTATTTTGGATAATATTATTAAATTTTTTTAATTTTTAAATACTCAATCGAAAGCATCACCTAAGATGGTTTAGTTATCGTAAACCATTATTCGTATAATTATTCATCCTATTAAAATAATTCTTCACTTAATTATAAAAATTTATTCTCTTAATTATTACATAAGTAATATTGCAATTAAATAAATTTATTTAACTTGTAAAAATTAATTTAATTTCTTAAACATTGAAAAACAAAGTAGAAATTATAACATTTATTTTTAAAAAGCTGTTCTATACATCTTCTTACCTTATGATATTGGGACAAGTCTAATTATTAAAAAAATAAAAACATTGCATAAATTGTCCATTTGACTGAAGTAAGAGAAATATTTTAAGGTTTATTGATGATGACCAAATATCCCAAAATATATGGGCTAAACTTACTGATGAGTATACTTAGGGGTTGTAAATTTTCTGATAGGGAGATTGTTTTAATTGTAAAAATAGATTTTAAGCTTAAAAGACATTCATAAATCATCTCTTGATTATTGGACATCAAATAATTTAGTAGCTATTGAGCTAGTTTTTCAAGGGTCTGAGCTGGAAATACTTTATGTATTACAATGAACTTTATGCCTAATTTGGCAAAAAAGGATAATGAGTTCTGGTTTAATTTAGTATTTATGAACTTATTAGCTTCTAAAATCATTGGTGCCCGTATTAGACTACCATAATTTTCAAATAATTTAATCAATAATAAGTAATTATTTTCTTCTTATGGAAATAAGGCATTGACTATTTTCAAAAGATTTTTTTTCAAAGTATTTACATCTTCATTAAAATGACTATCAATTTTTATTTCAATAATTTTATCTTCTATTAGCTATACAGCAACCAAAAATGATTCCTTATTATTTGAAATGAGCATATTTATTAGGTTGAACAAGCTAAGATTTTGATTATATATCCAAAAAAGGTTTGTAATGAGTAGATCAATTTAATTGTTTTAATTCAAAATTTCCTATTTATAAAATTTTAATGAGTGGATTACATTCCAATACTCTTGAAATTTGGAATTGTCTTTCAGAAACATTTTTAAAAAGTTATATTTATTTTTTAAGTTTAGGTAGGTTTTCATATTATTAGTCATAGTATCAATAAACTTTACTTTCATTTCTTTACTTAGTATATTATCTATATCTTCAATAAAATAACAAATTCTATGAATAACAAATAGGTATATTTTATCTTATATATAAGATTGTTATTTTTAGAAAAACCTTTCAATAAATTTCTATTTTCTTTCACGACCACCTAAGTTTGGTAAACTTTCTTATTAAATTTTGAGATCTGTTTACAAATTATACTTGATACAATACTTTTTCCAATAATAAAAGACAACTTATACATATAAGTCATGAAGATTATCATTTATATTTTCAATATTTTTAACATATGATATAACTTAGACAAATTAGCATTATTCGGTGGGAGTTTAAATTAAGGAGCTTATAAATTATTATAAATATGATCTGATATTTAGAATATCTTTACTAAAATTCATCAATAAAGCTTTGTATCTTTAATTTGTTTTCAAGAATGTTTAAAAATTATCGTCAGTCTCATGAATCATGGTTAATTGTAAATTTTGTAAGAATTATACAAAAGTCTAATAATTGTGTGGATCATCCTTTTTCAAATTATCAAAATAATAACAAATTTCATATAATTATTTTTCTAAAAGAGACCCTATTAGTTGTTCAAATGTTTTTGATTAATCTTCACTAAACATCGAATTGCAATAGAATAGCTCTAATAAAATTGACAAAATTTCTATTTGACTTAAATCCTTTTTATCTAATTAATAGTCAAGCAAATCGAAAACTAATAAAGACTTGTCTTTCAGCTTTATTAGTTATTCTAAATTAGCAAATACTTCATCTGGGATCTAATTCTAACTTCTATATTCTATCAGCTTCATATTATCTAAAATAGAATCATATTTATGATTTTATCTGTCTGAATTGTAAATCAATTTGTAATCAACTACTTTCTTAATTGGATCAAGCCAATTTTAAATCCAAAAACCACCATTTTTTACAAATTCATGGTCTCTAAAATATTGGTTTAGTGCTTAAACTACTTTCTTCTTATCTGATTCATGTAATTAAGATAGTAGTGGTTTTAAATCCTCTAAAATATCATTGCTCTCCACAAGATATCCTTCTTTTATTTCCTAAAAAATGGCTAGTATTTATTTTTCTTTTCCTTTTTTCTTTAAATTTAGTTCAAAGTTAACTTCTTGCTGCATTTTTATTAAAAAATTTCTATTTTCTATTAAGAAATTGATATAAAAATTGATTTTAAATTTAAGTTAATAGAATTATAAAATTCTATTTGAAAACAATTAAAACCACAAATTTATTGTCTCTAACTTTGCAATTTCATTAAAAACTTAAAAGTTACAATTTGTCAACCAAAGTATAAAACGTTTTTTCATATTTACATTAAATATTTAACAATAAGTTTGAGGTAGGTTTGGAATATATTTGTTTGTTTATTGATTTATTTTGGTCCTGCAGTAAACTCTTTCTAAAATAATTGTTACTCAAAGTTAAGAAAATTAAATGATGAATGCAAGCAACAATTTCCTTTTGTTATAAAAAAAATATCAGGATCTGCAACAAGAAATTTACATATTCAATAAGCATTTATAAATTGTGGTTTGGCTTATTGATATATTTTTGTCATTCTCCACAATACATGTTTTAATATAAAAGGCATGCATAGTAAACCTAAAGGAATCCCATAATTTGATTAACTTAGAGAATAGGCTATACACCTTTTAATTTTTTAATGTCTCTCTTTTGAATCTTTTTTTTTCCTTTTCTTAGTAAGATTTAATTATTCAAATTACTTCATTTTAACTTATTGCACTTTTTGATCAATGCCTTTGACAGCATATATTAATAGGAGTAATTATTTTGAATAATCAATGGATTAAAAACTGTCTCAAGTCAAGAGAGAGAACCATGATATTCTTGATTTGAATCATCCATCAAGATCACATCTATAAAATGTTATTGATTAACGCCATCTAACAATCTATATACAATAATAGCCATTTTAATATTAATTTAGGGTAATGCTATTCATATTTGTAATTATTATGAGTTTGATGTGCCTTCTGATTTATAGAAAATGTGCACTTAGAATGACTAAGCTGTATGTTTGTAATTCTGTGGGATCAGATTATGGCATTCATCCTAGCAGTCAACTCCTTATAAATTAATTTTGCTTCCATCCTTTTTTGATAAAATAAATAATTTTTGTTGCTAATTTTCCTACTATCAGTGTAAGAGAGTCTTCTGACATCATTTATTCCATGATATTTTAGAAAAAATTAAGAATTAATTATATAGTTAAAATATTCAAATTTGTAAGATGTAAGTCAAAGTTTTTTTTGGGTTTATTAAAAACTCTAAATGATAAAATAATTAATATTAGAATGGTTCTTCTTTACGAGAATTAAAGATGTGGATGGTTGGGCTTAGAAATTGTTATCGACATTGTAACTATTTAATCTTATTTATTTTACACTATTAAAATATGACTCCTTTAGTCCCCAAGATATTTGCTAAGCAGATTTATGAATTTCCAATTACATTTCATAAAGGATTGTAAATTTTAAAAAAGGGATTCTTTGTAACAAAATTAATGGTTGCTTATTAAATATATGAGAAAAATATAGATAACTTTATTATATATAGAATATTTAGTATAATGACGAATCTTGCTTATAATAACTTCTGATACAATTAATCATATCATATCATAATTATGTCATAATAAAATGTAATCGTTCTCATTCAGTTTAATAATTGACATAATATTTTAATTATTTCATTATTGATTCCTTCGTTTCGACAAAAAAATCTCCATGTAATTAACATAGAATAATAAAAGATGCACTTTTCTCCGATATCAGTTAAAATTACACCAAATTAAGCAAATTAATTGTTATATTTAACTTAAATGTTATTTTAAACCTACTAAATTATTCTTTTAATTATAGAAGGATTGCAAGATGAAATATTCTCATCTACTTTATTATTTTGATAACCTTTATGATTAATTGTAGATTTTGAAGAGCCAATTTCTTGTTTTATTAAATCGTAAAGTTCTTTATAAAGTTTCTCCCAACAATTTTACTCAATCATAATTGTATTAAATTATTTTAGAAAATTACTACGAATATTTTTTGGAATATCACCTTAAGGAGACTTTATGTAGTTTAATAATTATTAATACTAATTTTAACTAGGGTAAATTTCAATTTATGTATTGATTATAATATATTGTTATTAAAGTTCTTTTTTAAATTTTAAGTTATTATTCCACGATTGATCACTTATTTAAATCACTTTCAAACCTTTATATGTGCACTTAAAATTTTAGCTAATTTATGTATTAGACAAATCAATTTCTAAATTATTATTATTCTTAAATTTGAATGAATTTTTAAATTCCCGACTATTTGTAAAGAAGTTAGAAAAAGCGTTATTTGCTAACTACATATCATATTCAATTTGAAAGCAATCAAGTATAGATTTAAAACTCTCACTTTTTCTCTCCTTAAGGTATATAATATCATTTATAAATTGATTATCTAAATAGTTTTAGATATCAGCCTTTGCTACAACATCGTAGAGAATTACCTAAGAATAAAATTGTCTCATATCTAATAACTAATCTTTAGATTTCTTTAATTTCTATGAAAATTCTTGGTGAAAGATTTCAAATCTTTCCTTGTTGTTATTTATGAATATGAATTGATCATTTTCCAAGAATTCCTTTTTAAAAAGTGAAAAAATATTTTAGAATTCATTATTTGAAACTTCAAAAGAATTTTATTTTATTACATTGTTTCTAAAATAGTTAACATATTCTTATTAATTTTGAGGCTATAATATGTATTGGTTGAAGATACATTTAATAGCTTTGTATTAGGTATCTACTATATCAGAAAATTATGCTTGATTAGTATGAAGCTTTCCTTATTCTTGTAGGGTTAGATCTTATAAAATTGCTTAACATTTCAAACAGTCTTCAAACATATTAAATTTATTTAGTTTATTTATAAATTTTACATTCCATAAACTATTTGTTTCTTTAATTTCATTAAATATCGTTTATTTATTCATCTCACTTACTTTTTCCTTTCCATAACCTATTATCTTATCTAATTCTTCAAAGAAACTAAAAGCAGCTCTATCTGATTTAATATTATTTAAACTTTAGATCCAAGAATTTGTGATTTGATCTAGTAAATCTAATTCTTAAATTATTGATGATTTCAACTCTACTAATCTAAGTTGAATAGATTTTAATATCCCTTAATTGTTATCTATCAGGACTTCAAAAAAATCTCTTTTTTGCTTCTGACTTTCTGCAATCATCTGGTTAACTACTTTAAACCCAATAATACGAGTATCTTCAGTAAAAGTTTCCATACATTCATGACATAAGAGTTTTTGATTATTTATGTATTTGTTATCAAAAATTACACTAAGAATAGGCTTCTAGTGTTTATTTGCACATTATAGCTCTAATTCTATCATAATTAATAATAATAAATAAAATTTTTAATTATACAATTTTTCAGCTTAAACTTTTTAATTGCTAGAAAATTCAAAGGATAGATGGAAATAAAGATACTTCGAGGAATAAGTAATGAAATAGTAAAATTAACATATTATTATTGATTTAAAAAATTATTTTATCCTAATTTTCATAGAAGCATTATGAAAGGAAAATAGTAATTATCAAAAATTTTTGTTAATTATATATGATGTTGCAAAGAATAGATAACAATCAAATTTATCTAATTGATGAGAATAATAAATAGTATTTGTAATTTAAGCTTTGAGTAATAAAATTTATGATATAACCGATATAGTTATTAGAAAATACTATATAAACTATTGAGCGATTATAAAAAGAATTCAAGAATGTATCATTTTATCCAAGTACAAGTATTAAGGATTATTATAAAGTGCTCTAATTCCAACTCCTCAAAAATGTTCAACCTATTATTTGTTCAAGTATTAACATTAATAGCACTCAAATAATTATATCTCCTTGAGAAGGTTTTTTATGAGTTTCAGAATCAATAGTTATTCTATCGAAGGATAATGTTATTCACTTAATTTGATTTTAATTGAATCGAAGAATCATCATTTCCAAAACTCCAACAAAAATTAGATCAAATGAACTTTACAATTATTCATATTTTGAAGATTATGCTAGAGTATTATTTCAAAGGAACGTTCACCGCATAATTGAAGCAACTATTTAACTAAATTATCCTAAAAACTTAAGTTAAAGGTTGAAATTAGTAAAGTTGTTTTTGAATTTGAAATAATCGATCTTTCTCATATAGATGATAAAATCCAATTAATTCTTTATTATACTATTTATTTACTAATCAGTTCTGAACTTAACTGTAATTTGATAAGTATTTTTCATTATGCTCGATACTGATAATGACATCCATAATATATCTAATTCATTCGATTGATGGAAATCAATTAATTAATTTTAATACTTTATTATTTTAATAGGAAAAGCTACAAAGTAAAAATTCATGTGTACAAAAGGTATTCATATTACTCATGTAACCTAAGTAGGAGCATTTTGAAAGGTAATATCGAATACGTAATGATAATAAAGCTTCTGGTCAGTGGATCAATAAGTATACGACTAAAGCATTTATAATCGAAATCTAGAGATTCTTTAATCCGTTCTCAATATTAAACTGTTCAAAAAAGCCTCAATATTTGATTATAAAATTTATTTATAATGTTACAGGTAAAAAATCTTCAAATTTTAGATAATTTCCTTTCTTGTTACACACTTTCTGAAACTAAGAAACTGAGAACTAGGAAAACAAAATCCTAAATTCTATTTATTAATAAAAATTGATTATCAATATATAAATTATTGTCTATGTTAATCCAAAATGTGATTAAGAATTTTTATTCTTCTACATCTTAATTTTAGGTTAAAAATAGTGTCAAAATATTGTTCATCTCTACAACATTTCCATTAAAAAGTGACCGCTTGGAGTTTTATTATTTTCTTATTTATGTGCAAGCTGTAATCTGAAATTTCTTTTTTTGGTTCTTTAAACATCATAATTTTTCAATATTCTATTTATTTAAAATAATTGATATTTCCTATTTAGAATGAATATCTTGATTGAATTTGATTTATTGAGGCCGAGATAATACTAATTATTAGAATTTGACTGTATTAATTAATTCTCAAATATTGAGGTTCTATATGTTAGGTTTGTATTAATATAATTTTGACTTTCAATTCAAATAATAAGAGCATTTTAATATAAATTTAATATAATTAATTTCTTGAGCAATCAATTTGTTTTTTAAACCAACTACATAGATTTATACAATTTAACTCATACAAATTTGGTTTTTATATTATTCAGGATTATATTTAGAGGTATTCAGATGCATCAACAATTAAAGTTATTAAAATTTCTAGGGGGATTTGAAAATATTAATTGAAAGAATAATAAGTTTTAATATTGTTGTAGATTTATAATGAGACTAAGCTTTAAAATAGTATGTTATTCTATGATACGAATGAAATGAAATCATTGATATAGTTACCAGATACTACTTCAGAAAATCTTGTTAAATTTATCTGGAGCGCTTCTGATCTCAAGCTCAAATTATGAACTTCATGATCGGGAGTTGATGCATGAATCAAATCTAATTCTGCAGAATTCTATAATGTAAAATCTTTAAGAAGAACTGGATTGATTACAAGTTTTCAGTATATTTATGAGAAATTCAATGTAAATTATTATTTTACTTTCATCTTTAATTCATATAACAACCATTTTTATAATTCTATCAACTTCAAAGTCATTAAACTTTAGTCAAATTCTGACTAAAATTTTAATGATTGTTTATTTTTATTAAATATGGATTTAAACTATGTTTGATAGAATATGAATTAAATAAATTGCATAGAAAAAAACTCATTATATATTATTATCAGCATGATTGCTAAACGAGAAATACTATTTCTGGTTCAAGATATTGATAACAAAATATTTTGAGAATGCAATTGAGACACTCTATAAAATAGGAAGACTTATATCATATAAAATAATCATTCTTATTTTTATAGGTGAAGTTTGCAATTATTATATTTAAGTATATGGTATAATTTTATTAAATACGATAAATACCAAGTATCAAGTTTGATTATTGTATTTAATCATGCTCCTTCCTCTTAAAACTTTACTATAATCTCAAGGTGATTATTAACTCTTTAAACAAAATTTTAATTTGTTTGTCCACTTAAGCTTTGATGAGAGTTTAATAAAATAGAATGAAAACCTTTAGAAACAGAAAACTAAGGCAACTTTGAAAATAAATCAATCTTCAGAACGTTCGTAAATGTAAATTTCAAATCTTACAAGGCTATCTTCTTGTTAAAGTCCTATTATGATTATTATAATTTTACCATTATGATAAATTTGTCTAAACTTGGAAATATAAACTTAATTCTTTCATACTCCTAATTCATAAAAAAAAAGAAACATTGTTTAAAAAATTTTATATTTCTAATATTTCTATTAAAATAGTTCTAATAGAATTAGGTTTTATGTTAGTTGTTATAGAAACTAGAAAAATGTAATTTAATTTTTCTCATTTTTTCCATTGGAAAACTTAATTAAAATGATATATATATTTCATTCTAATTATATATTGATTGATTAGAGTATTATTTTATTGCATATAAGAATAAGTTCTATAAATTTGGATAAAAAATATTATAATATTGTTCAATTAATATCATAGCAGTAATCTTCTATATATGTGTAATATGGAATTAATTTATCATTAAGAGTATAGAATCCTTAAAGTTAAATAAAAATAACATTTCTTAATCTTCAGCAAATAGTTATTCTTATTTTTTTCAGTAAAATCATAATTTAAAGCCTTAGTTTGGTCGTAATCTATTTAACCTCCTAAGTAGGAATGAGAAAAGGCTCATTTCATGTTGTTTAATCAATAGTGATGATTTATGTTACCTTGAAAAAGTTAGCAACTTGAAAGTATAATTAGAATTTGAGTTTAAGGAATTAACAAAAGTAAATTAACCTTTGTTCATCATTTTATCATCTAATTGGTTACATGAGAAAATAAAACTTGTATATTATAGATTCAAATATCTTTGAAGATTTATCATTTTAATTTCTAATTCCCTAATTAACCTCATTCAATCTTCATAATAATCATACATATATCTTTGTCTCAAAATATCCTTATAAATAGTGGAATTTTCAATTTAGGAAATTAAAGGTATGAGATTAATTAATTTGGAATGATTCAGAACTTTATTAAGATAGTAGGAATAGCTAAATATTTAATTTTACTATTTTCTTCTTCTTCCAAAAAGAAAATTTAATTTAACCATGATTATCAATGTTCTTAAATGAATCATCTTTTTTTTACTATTCCAAGAATTATATGTTTGAGAATTGTTTCCTATTTATAAATTAATTATATAAGTATGTAATAATAATAAAATGGAAGATATTAAGGAAAATTTTGTTATGAGTTACTATCAGAATTTACAATCCATCAAAAATAGGCATGCAATGCTATTACTTTCAATCAAAATAAATAATTAATCTTAGTCTGTTTGGATAAAAATATTAAAGTTTATCAATTTCATGATGGATATCTAAAATTAATATAAATACTATCAAAAAGTCTATATACTAACACAGTCCTGAGTTTTTTTAATAACCATAGAAAGTCTTAATTTTTATCAGGTTCATGCGATAGTTTTATAAAAGTTAGATCAATAACATAATTAAGAAATCAAAAGTACATTCAGAAGTTGGATTCACACAAGAGAGGCATTTGTTGTTTAGCTATCAGTTAGGATTAAAATATGTTTTTATCTGGCTGTGTTGATTAAACAATTAAACTATGGAGTTTCTTCTAATAAAACTAACTTAGTTGCCAATGGTCCTGTTAACAGACTATTACAGATCATACTAATGATGTCTATACTTTAGATATTAATTCAAAATAAAACAAAGCAGTATCATGTGGATACGATGATACTATATTAATTATGGAAATAATAAAGGAAATGGACACTTATTAGTTAATTTTGAAATAAAAGATTAAATTAATAAACTTTGGTTTTAGAATCCTATTCATAAATGATTCAGATTTCATTTTTCAAACCTATTGTGGAAAATTTCTTTAATTGTTTCAATAAGATTAAAATGAAAAATACGTCCTAACATAATCACTACCTGTTTAGTGTAAAAGCTAGTCTTGTAATATATTTTTCTAGCCCTAATTTATAAAGTCAAAAGGTTTTGTTGTCTGTAAAAATAGTTAAAACCTTAATTTTGTTTATCATAATCCCATAAATAATGAGCTTGTATTATTATATTCTATTACATTTGATAATTATGAATAGTATGGATCTTTAAGTGAGGATGGCGAATATATAATCACTTGGAATTAGAAATTAGAACAAATAGAAATAAGAAAGTATAGATTAATTGATGACAAAAATAATTGATTTTAATTATTAATATATAAATAAATTTATAATATAAGTAAGGTATTAGATATAATTGGTTGAAATTGAATTTGCAATATTTAGAATCTTACTCAAATTACATTGTGTTACTTTGAAATAATAAAGATAGTGTATAACATAAACCATAATATGATTAATTTATTTTTTAAACATTAGCTTTTATTTTATTTTGATTTTGACCTAAAAAATTTAATGTTTCTTATTTTTTTTACCTATTAATTGAACATAATCTATATCATAGAATCTCTATTATCAAATTTCATTAGATTATATGTCATTACAATTCATATATGATGAAATACTCCACCTTATTACATATGGAGATCAGTAGAGCAGGAAACTATAATAATAGTTTTTTAGTGTAAACAATTTAAGCATACTGATCTGATATAATATTAAAGTAGATTTTGATTATGCATTTTATCAGAGATTATATTTATATAATGCTATAACACTTCATTACTCTAGTATTTAAAATGAATTTTAATATTACTTTCTATCTAATTAAACTTATTTTAATGTAGATTTCTAAATTATAGATATACATTTGTTATTAAAGATTATGTCTTAATCTATTTAATTATGCAACATTTATTTCTAGACTTGATGAAAAAGTGTAAACTTAACATTATATTTGGTTCTTCATTGATATAAGAAAATAATTGATAAATATTGTTAAATATCTTTTTATTGAATTGAAAAATTATCTGAGGTCGATTTTCTTTAAAAAGCACAATTGCAATTTAGCATCATAATCGTATCAAACAAACAGAATTTGATAATAGACCTTATAAAAGTTAATACTATATTCTACAATATTTTATTTATCTAACCTCTAAATAATTAAAGTTTTTCAATTACTATAATCCTAAATATTACAAGTCACTTGAAAAATATATAATCTTTCTTAGAATACTTTAAGAATTGGAATATTTTTTAAATCTTAAATTGTCTGAGATTTTAAATCCAGATTTATAACTGTATTAATGCGTGTATACTTTCACAAAAAGAAAACAAAAGATTCATTTCTATAAAACGTATTTTAATATAACCGTAAATCTATTATAGTAATATTTTGGATTTTTTTATTTATTATAATAAATGTTTAATTTTGGATTCTTCAAATGATATATGTGCAGTCAAGATCATAATTAACTTATTGTAATTTTTTCAAGATCATTCAAAGTAAAAGGCAATAAGACATTGTCATAAATGTTTAATTGACATGAAACAAATTTAATATATAAAGAACTTAATCTTAATAGAAGATGCAAGAAGTACCTTTAAGAAACAAATGCTAGAATATTAAAAGAAAGAGAGCCATTTAAAAAATAAAGCTAAGGAATATTAAATGATATTAATCATTTCGTGAGGCAGCAACAAAAGATGAAATACAATCCAAAACATGTCAGTGTAAAATTAAGGCTATATTTTATGCTTCATAGCTAATTAAATCTTTACATTTAACCTTACTAAATAAATATCTACAATTAAATACTGCAAGTAATAATTTATGAAATTCAACAAAAGGTGAGTATTAAGTCTGATTTGGGTTGTTTATAGTTTTACCTTAAAAATTTATGAAAGAGAAATAAGTTGTTTTAAATAAAAATGTATAAATATCAATTTAATTCTATTTCATAGTTTTGGTTAATTCAAACAGAACAGTCTATTTAAATAAGGATTGATGTGGATTATTTGGTACTATTTCAAACGATGGAAGATATTTAGCAACATATGAAAGTGATAGTATAAATGGAGAAAATGATTTTTGTAGTTATTTTAGTTGTCTTACTATTTGTTTGAAAAGCTTTGACCAATGGTTTAAGAATTGCAGTGGAGGAGCCGAAAACCTTCTGAGACTAGAGTCTTGTAGGAAAATGCAAAATTGATTCTAGTGGGAACTTAAAAACAAAAGAATCTTTAGAAAAAAATCTAGATTTCAACGAGAAATCTATAAATGAGATCATAAGAGGGAAATAATGAAGTGAAGAATGGGAATTATGAACTGAGACATAGATTATTTTGCAAGAAGAGGAAACGAAAATACCTAATGATAGAGATACTAAATAAGAGGAAGGGATTGAAAAGATTTGGAAACTG